CAACAACAACAACAACAACAACAACAACAACAACAACAACAACAACATATATACACTCTCAAGATTCGTTTGTTTCCAATTAATATATTTCTTATTTTTTTGGGAAATTGAATTTTGTAATTTTGGAAAAAGTTTTATTATTTGATAATAAATCGTTTTTATCAAAAACATATATTTTTAAAAAAACAAAATTTTTATAAAAATAGTAAAACCAATTTTTTATTTTCAAGTGATTTTATCTTAAAGGATTCTTATGGTAAAGTGGCGATCAAACCATATCCCGCCTTCCTGCCGCATCCACCAAAGGACCGCTGGCAAGCGCGGCAGCCCGGCAGATCTCTTACCGCCCTTCGCTCCTTCGAACCGCATTCCGCACAAGGATCGAAAGCCTCCATGTGGGAATGATCATCCTCCATAAAGGATCCCGCAAACTTCGCACACATTCTCTCCCGTAGGCACACTGAGCGCAGTGTCCATCAAGCCACATTCGCAGAGGCTTGTCTCGACCAATCCAGCGCGGACTTCTGCAACTGGATCTCCTGGCTCCACCACGACATCCAAATCCGAGGCAGTCAGGAGCACCATACCTGAAAGCGCTCCACTAGGCCAAATGCGGGGCACAGCTTCCAGGTCGCCTTCGATGGGGAGAACTCCTTCACACAAGGATCCATCCAAAAATGGCCGCGACGTCCTCTTCACAGGCAACATCACACCCTCTCCGGCTTCTACGGAGACGGCCTCCTCCCCATCATAAACTAACAGCTGCCTCCTCGAATCTCCAGGCTCACTACAAGAAGGATCATCCAAACTGGAGATTGTTGAAGAGAAAGCGTAAGCTCTATCGCGTCTGGTTCGCGACAAGTCTTCGCACCGCGGCATAGTGATGCCCAGCGTGTCAAGGACATGTCCGTTCGGACCTGGGCGAAAACCAAGCCCGAGGCGCGAAGGACGGTCCAGAGCACGGCCGCCCAAAATTAGTCCATGCCAATCAGACGTGCCTCGTGCAGCTACCTTACAACGAACGACGACCTCCGGGCCATCAGTGGCACTCTCTGGGTCTTCTCCCTCCATCAACGTCACTCGAAGCACGACTCCTCCCTTCAACGGCGCAGGGGAGGCGGCAGCAATACCATGGACAAACTCTGGGTATGTCCACTTTTCAAAACGAAGCACCGGGAACCGACGGTCTTCTGGACCAATGCCGAGATCCGCCGCACGGTTGAGCATCCCAGTGATCAACTCCTCCGTAACGTGATTGGACCCTGCGCATCCATCCAGCATCACCTCCACCTTGCGGTCGAGCACTTTGGCTACCGATTTGTACTGATAGCCACCAGCCTCATTTTCGACCAAATGGAACCAGTCCTTGGGAACGTCGTCCAAGGAGGAAAACCGCGGCTGATCGCCCGCAGGCTTCGTCAAGCTCAACACACGGCTCTTCTCCTTAGTCTTCACAGTCGCACTTCCAATCTGAATGGAAAAGGCGGCAAAAGGGTTAGACATAGCTGCTCCGGACGGCGCCTTCCAACTCTTTGGTGGACCACCGGACGTCGAAGCAGGCAGACTGTGAACCATGTCACAGTTGGCTCCCTTACGGCAAGCTCCATTCTTCTGAAAATAAGGGCACAACGTCCACGGAGGCTTGGTGTTCTTCCCCTTTCCTTTGGGCGGGCCTTTCGCTCCCTTATCTCCCCCCTTGCCTTGCGACCCTCCTTTTCCGCCCTTCGATGGGTACGCCTGTTCCGTTCCCTTGCCTCCGCCAGTTTCTTTCATTGCCGCGAGGGCTTTCCTCCGCAGTTCCTTGTCATGCGACCATGGACACGCATCCCCTTTAGGGCAGTTCCCGTGGTCTCGGAAATGAAAGCACAGCTTAGTAGACCGTGCGTTGGCGGCGAGAACACTAGCATCAGGAACAATCTTCGGTTTCGCCTTCGGCTTCGGTTTTGGCTTCTTCTCTTCTTGGAGCTGCTTCCCAACTGGCGTCGACTGACTTGGACCTGCACCATTCATGTCCGATCCAGCAGCCAGCAAAGAGTTCGTCGTCGCCTTGTGGGTAGTCTCTTTGCTCAATTTCCAAAACTACCCGATGGGCTTCTTCCCACGTAGCCGGACTGCGAAGTGTCGATTCCCCCTTCCAGAGCCTCTTGTCGCTCCGGATCTCCTTCTGAAGATGGGGAGGCATCTTCCGCAGGTACGAGAGATACAGCTCCCTCTGAGTCTTGCCGCAACCAACTGATTCCAATTCCGAAATGCTGGCCTCAAACAGAGGTTCGAACTGATGAGCACTCAAACGTCCTTTACTCAGCAAGACGTGCTCATTGTCCACACGGACCTCTTCCTCTTCTTTGCTCTCAGCGAGCACCAGGTGCTTCTCCTTAATCCTGGTATACACGGTCTCAGGATTCGTCAAGACTTCCCCGCTCCGCCACGCAGCCGATAGATGTTCGTGAAGGTCTTGAGCCGACTGCCCCGACAACGGGCACGCAAGGCGATCAACTGCTCGCGGAAGCTCATGCCCTTGCAATTGTTGGCCAACAAGCAACAGTCTTCGAACTCTTCGTAAAACTGAGCCACATCTCTGGCCTCTGAACGATCATCGGTCAGCGTGGGCCAGTTGATATCGGTTTTCACCGACGTCACACTGGTGACTCCTCCTTTTGCCATCCGGGTCTCCTGCAGCATCTTCGTCTGAGCCTCTAAGGCCGCTGCAAGATCCCCACCAGCCACCGAACCATCAGACCCTCTCTTCAAGGCCTCCAATTCCATCTCAAGAGCGGCGACTTTAGCACGCAACGGCGAGTCTCCTCCGCCAGTCGAGTGCTTGGCAAGTCCAGCGCCTACTTCCTTCAGTGACACGGCTTCCCGAGTAGGTGAGTCGAGAACCGGGCCCTCAACCGAAGGCGTGCTGAACAACTTGTCGCTCTTGGAGCTTTCTTTTCCACCAAGTCCCAAGGATGACTTGTCCCAGGGCTTCCGCCTTCAAGGTCTTGTCTTCATCCGACAAGTTCGAATCTAGCGCCGCAAAGGCGAACTGATCCTGCAAGGTCCGAACTAGGGCTCGCACATCCCAAGTTCCAACCCGATCGTAGGCTTCAAGGCCATCACCAAACGGGTGACTCTGACTCTAGCCAGAAGCACTCCCATATCCTCCTGATCCGGCCGGAACAACTGATGCAGCTGCTTCAGCAGCTCATCAACATCAGCTGCCCCAGTCCCAGCTGAGGACGGGCGAGGACTCGTTCCTCCAGCTCCAGCTCCAGTCCGTGGCAACATTAGCGGCGCCGCCTTACTCGCAGCCGCACGCTCAGGCGCTACTACGGCCGGACCCCGAACGATTTCAAGCTCAGAAGACTCCTCATCTTCCTCATCATCGTCCTCCTCGCTATCCTCTTCACCGTAGTACTCTACCGTGATGGCCTTCCACAAAGCCACCTCTTCATCTGTTCTCATTCCGCGCCCATCTCTTTTTCTGACTGGGCGCCTGCCTTCCTTCCGTCGCCAAGCTTGCCACTTCGGGAAGGTGTCTGGCACCGGGACGCGACCATCCGCTATGCATTCCGATAAGGTCACGCCCTCAACCTCTCCAGCAACTTCCTTGCTCATGGCGCGTCTCTCAGACCGCTGCCCTTCCCAGAACAGCCCCCAACTGCGAGCAAAGCTAACCGGTCTTGGAAGTCTCTCCAAACTCAGCAACTCAACTGTTTATTGCTCGAGGGTTCAGCAGTCAGTGGGACTGAGCGGGAAGCTGCTTGGTGCTTACTTCCGTGCTCAATTGCCAAGCCAATGCTTGAGCCAAAAGAAGCATGGTGAAACATCTACACAAACATGCAAAGACAAAAAGCAAAAGGCTGGTAGGGACGCTCGCATACTACTAGCGTGGCACTTGTTGCTACTAGCTTCTTGTTACTACTAGTAAGGCACTTCTTACTACTAGCGTGGCACTTGTTACTACTAGCTTCTTGTTACT